GCTTCTGCACAATCAAGGAAACAACCAAAAAGAGTGAAGGGAAAACCTATAGAATGGAAAAAGAATTTTTCCAGGTACTCTTCTGACAGAAGACTAATATCTAAAATATATGAATAACTCCAAACTACCCAAAAAAAACAACCCAATTAAAAATGGGTGCATGAATTGGACAGACACTTCTCAAAAGAAAAAGTGCAAATGTTCAATAAGTGCATGAAAAAATGTTCATCATCTTTAGCCATTAAGGAAATGAAAATCAAAACAACTCTAGGATTCTATCTTACTCCAGTCAGAATGGCTATCTCAAGAACTCAAAAACCAGCAAACGAGGATAAGGATGCAGAGAAAAAGGAACCCTTTTATATTGTTTAGTGAGAATATAAACTAGTATAACAACTATGGAAACCAATATGGAGATTCCTCAAAAATTAAAAATGGAAATTTCATTTCATCCAGTTATACCTCTCTTGGGTATAATCCCAAAAGAGTTAAAATTATCAACTATATTGGTACATGCATACCCATGTTAATAGCAGAGAAGTTCATAATAGCTAAGCTCTAAAAACAGCTAGGTGCCCATCAACAGATGAATAAAGAAAATGAATTTTATTCAGCCATAAAGAAGAATGAATTCATGTCATTTGCAAGAAAATGAATGGATCTTGAGGCTATATGTTAAGGGAAATAAGTCAGGCACAGGAAGTTACATATATGAGAAATTTAAAATATAAAGAGTAAAACAAGGTCAAACTTTTTGGAGATGGGGATTGAGATCAGGAGAAGGGGGAAAGGAGGGTAGAGAGGAGGAAAAGAAGATTTTCAAATGATCAAATATGTTATATTTATAGATGTCCAAATTCCCCAAAACAAACATATATATCAAGTATTACAAACATATACTAGTTTTTTTTTAAGTTCATTTGTTGAAAACTTAATCCCCAATGCAATAGTGTTGAAAGTTGGAACAAGAGCTGATTATGTCGTGAAGGCTCTGCCCTCATGAACGGATTAATGGCATTACTGCAGGAGTGAGTTAATTACCATGGAAGCAAGGTTCTTATAAAACAATAAATTCAACTATGTTCCCTTTGTGTGCTCTTCTGCCTTCCTAACAGAGAAATCTGAGCTTCTCTTTAAGATTGTAAATGAGATAAAAATGTCCAATGTTTGTACTTCTCCTCAACATTGTATTATAGACTACAGTAAGGAGTAGGAGAGCTAAAGGGATAAGATTTGGAAAGGAAAACCAAAACTGTCACCGTAAAATAAATATGACTATCATATAGAAAGCTCTAGAAAATACAGATAAAGTATTAGGAATGACAAGAGAGCTTAGCAATGGGGCTACATATAGGATCAAAATATTTATCTATTCATGTTGATCTTACTCTGTGGAAGCACCTGAAGGAACTAAATTAAGCAAGTTTTCTTCCAAAGAGAATCTGGCATTAGCTTCTGCCTAGAGCAGTTGGGCACAACTGTCCTGGGATATCCCTTTCAGGTTATTAGGCAATTGCTTAATGTGGCGCCTCCTGTTCAAGCTCCTATCAACTGGCAAACCCCAAGGCTTAGTCTCCTCCAGGGCAAACCTAGCATCTGTTCATGGTGAGAACTTTGATTCCTACACACTGGGGCTTATCAGTGTTGTTTGTTATATTTTTGTCTTTGGGGATTTCCTTTACTTCTTAAGGTACTGCTGTTACTACAGGAAGTGTCTTATCCAGAATTTAGTCACATTATAGTGAAAGGTCAGTCTGAGGTTCTAGTGCAAAGACTGTTTTATAAAAACTAATACATATTTTTAAAAGATTAAAATAAAATCCCAAAAATGTTAACAATGGTTGTTTTCAGAAAATAAACCATAGGTAACTTCTTTTCTCTTCTGTATTTTCCATATATCCTATTCATGATCTTATTTATTTAAGAAGAAGAAACAATTCATTTTATTTTTAGAAAGATAGTGGGGACAGCGACACATGCTTGAACCCTAGCACTTGGGAAGAATGAGGAAAGAAGATTACAAGTTCAAGTCCCATCTGCACAACTTAGTAAGATCCTGACTCAAAATAAAATACAAAAAAAGGAATGGGGATATGGCTCAGTGATAGAGATCCCAGCTTTGATCCCCAGTAACACTAACATTCACACACACATACACACACACACACACACACACACACACACACACACAAAGTTATGTATACAGAGCATAGTTTTTGAAAAAGAACTATTTTTTAAATTACAGAGAAAACAAAAAATGTTTATCAAGCACATAATTGCTTTTCAAATAGTGTCATAATTTATCCTCATAAAAATTCTGTAACTTAAGTATCATTATCCCCTTTTTGCAGAAGAAACTAAGGCTCAAAAGGTTAAGTAATTTGCTCAAGTGACAGTATTGGGATTTGAATTCGGAAATCCTTGTTCCAAGGCCAGTGCTTTTTTCACTCAACCATGCTGCCTCCCACAAGAGAGCATTTTCACATTACCACCTGCTAGTTCTAATTAAGAGATAGTAATTAAATAATTCTCCACTCTTGGCAATATTTAAGCTACTGGCACTTTCAAGAAATTAATATGAACCGCTCTTTATCTGCTGGAAGATATGATATTTAAACATAATAAACTACAAACTATTACAGAAAGAAAAGATTGTAGTGTGATACAGTTAGATGCTTCTTCAAAGCATTGTTAATTATATTAACTATCAGTAAGATATAAAGCATAAAGATGTTGTTTAATGACCTCTAATAAAAATGTTCAATTTGACAAGTAAAGAAATACAAATCAAAGTAGCAATGATATATCTATCATGTTGGCATTTTTTAAAATACCAGTAATTTTCAGGTTGGAAAAGATTCTCATATATCTTGGGAGATAATGTAATTGGCAAAAACTTGGTGTTAGCCAATTGATTACATACTTTTTAAATGTTCGTGGCTTTTAACCTACTGAGTCCTCATGTAAGACTCTATCTCAAAGAAACAATCACAGTTATGAATGTAAAGATTTAGTTATGAGTTATTCATCTTAAACTACTTAGAAAAGAAGAGGGAGAGGAATGTAGAATAAATCTACATCTATAATAATAAAATAGGCTAATAAATTCAGGCAGTTACTAGAGGTTAGGGTGAGAATGCCGGTCAAAAGGTACAAACATTCAATTCGGAGAAATAAATTCTGGAACTCTATTTCAAGGTGATTATAATTAACATTATACATTTCAAATTGCTAAAAGAGTGGGTGTTAGATGTTCTCATGACAAATGATCAGTATGTGAGATAACAGTAATATAAGTATATATTATTTTGATCATTCCACAATGCATACATCAAAAACATTACATCATACTCCATAAATATATATAATTTTGTGAATTAAAAAGATAAAAAACATGAAAATTATATACAGCATGTTCAAAATAATTCACCCATTAAAGATGATGACACTGGGTATTAGCATAGAAAGTAATGCTTGACATTGTATTTTTAAAAAAGTAAAAAACAAATTTGTATACTAGTATGATAGTATGATTGTGTATAGTAT